CACACACACACACACACACACACACACACACACATACACACACACACACACACAGGTCTTTCTATACTCACAGGGACTTTCCATTGACTTCAATTCATTTTCATTCATTTCTATAGCCTAATCCTGACCCCTTGCCCTAAACCTAACCCCCAACCCAAAAATTGTACCTAAATTTATGGAACCCCAAAAAAGCAGTGGGTCCGTACAAGGTCAGCCTGGCCCTTGCCTTCCTACATAGTTCCGCTCAATTCTAGTTTCCCTTCACTGCTCCGTCTGGGATTTCTCCCATAGACAAGGATTACTTCAGCAGAATTTTACCTGGGCCAATCAGCAAACAGAAGGCTGAATTTTGAACGATGGCGATTTTCTTCGCAGCGTCTGCTAGTTAGTTTAGCATACAGCAGTGGAGGAAGAGAATGAAGCCAGTCTGTGTTAATAAGGCTTCCAAATTAAATTAAATTAAATTTGTCTGACAAAGCAGCAGCTCTCATTTACAGTCATCTCGTTCAGCTCGGTACTTCTCTCCTCTCAGYAGRGTTGTTTACAGCACACGCAATTTCCTGTTAGCCTCTTAGCTTAGCCTTCTTCACGGTGGAGCTGTCACACTACATACGTCGCGGCCAATCGATCCAATCATTTTAAACTTCAACAGAGGCCACRCCTCCAGCAAGAATCACTTCTCTWTATCCGAGAGTCCAGACCCTCGWACGAAGCAAAGTGAAGAACAAGGGTCTGGTTTTAACCAGGAAACACAAGGTAGTATATATTGGRAAAATGGGCCTTACAAAGTAACAAATGCTAACACACACAATTAGGGTACGGCTATATTAACACAGAAATTTATCACGCTTAATTAGTGGCATTTAGCTAGTAACGATTAATAAATGACAAGTGAACTTGCATGTTGCTGATGTTGTGGCCTTGGTCCCCATTTTTTGTCTTTTCTCGTTTCAAGTGATCAAGTTTGTCAGGTTAGGATTATCTGCTCCACATCGCCTTCCATTATTGGGCTCACATGTGCGCCTAATAGTGATAGTATGTTGTACACAAAAATATGTAGTCACATGGCACTAACTGTAGTAATCACAAAGTAGCAAATATTAATTGTTGAACGTTTTTCTGACAATTAATTGCACACGATACAATTTCGCCCAAACCTACACACAATCAGTATTTATTTAATCATTACAAGGATTTTGCATTGACTTCCATTTCTTTTCCATTCATTTCTGTAGCCTAACCCAAAAATGACATTTGAACTTGCCCTATAAGGTAACAAATACAAAGACACACAGAGAAGAGGCACTAGTTCGTCTAGTTTCTTTCATAAACAACATTTATTTGACTCTTAATACTATTATTTGTCTCTTTGGCTATAATAAATATTTCTGTGTCCTGTGTGGGACGAATGCCACGCTCAGAAAAACTCATTCAGCATCAAACACAGCAACCTCACACTCACTTTACACACACATGGTAAAATCATTCTGTCAGCACTGCAACCCTTTTTTCCAAGTCTGAAAGTCATTCTCCTGCCGGGAGAACCTTGTTATTTTCCCATAAAAATATTTCCCTGTGGTGTAATTTAACTACATCTTCTGATCAGCTGAGCTTTCAGTCCCACAACAGCTTCCTGTGGCATAAAAAAAAAATCTGTCACGCCGCTGCTTCGGTTGGTCGGCCATGTTTGCCACCAATGCTCTGTCATTTGAAAGGTTCTGCTTTTTGATGGTCAGCACTCTGGGGTAAATTCTTGACTGAGGAACAAGACGGTCAACAACAATATAAAAAAAGTTTTTTCTCAGAAACTGAGGGTTTTCTACTGTTTCTACTGTGAAATCGATTTAATGTGTGGTATACCGTTACGCATTAGTCACAGTTCAGTAACTCGAATGTGGAAGGTTTTACTTTTTTTCTTGTCTCGCTGTGAAGCTGCTGTCTGAGCAGATGAAAAACATTTGTGCTGAAGAAAAGTGACACACACTATTCGTTTGCACTCACTCTGTCAGGCCTCAAAGTGCCTGTGACATCATATTTTTGTAATAAACATGAATGCATTGTTGGAAAGATAACATTCATAACATATCGCAAAACAAATTTCACGTTGCTGAGATGAACGGTTGTTGAGATATTTGCATGTGAAGGAACAGGAAGTGATGTCAAAGGGGAATATCAGCATGTAAACAAAGTGTTGTTACAAAAGCTAACATCACAGACTGTAGAGAAGAATCTGATGTTTCTTTAGGTCATTTTTAGTTGCTATCAAAGAGAGATGAAGAAGAGTTAAAGTTTAAATCATTTTGTTTTAACAAACAGAGACCAGTGAGTTTATTCTATTAAAGAGTTCCCCTTTGATGTCACTTCCTGTTTCACTTTAGCTGAGACAAATTCAAGAGAAAGTAGGCCAGTTTTGGGACAAAATGGGAGAAATCATGTGTACTATGCCAATTTTCTTAAGTATAAAGATGCTTTCTTTGACTTTTTGTTAGGGGTGTCCCGATACCAGTTTTTTCAAGACCGAGTACAAGTACGAGTACTTCAGTTTAGGTACTCACCGATACCGATACGATACCAAGTAGCGGGGTTCATGTGGATTATTATTGTTATTATATAATATATTACTAAGCACAGTAACAGCCACTTTCTTAAGGTTTGGGAACTGGTGAACATTTATGTCACTCCAAAACTTAATCGTCCATTTGTGTGCAGCTCTTCAGGCAGCGACAGTGATGATTGCATGTCCACAAGTTCAAGAACGAACTCCCCCTCCTCAATGGAAGCGACCACTCCCTTTGCACTGGTGGAGAGATTTATGTCTGTAGCAAGAGCAGCAAATGGGTCTTTGGTAAAGCGCATCACCTCTGTGGGGAGTGAAAGGCCATTCAATCGGCTGGCAAAGTTGTCTTTTAGTTTCGCAACTAAATCCATCATCGCTGCTGTGAGAGATGCTGTTTGTGCGATGCATTTGCGTAGCGTAGGAAAATGCAACATTCTTCCTGAGCTCAAGTCGGCAGAAAATAGTTCCAGTTTGGCTTGAAATGCGCGCGTCTGTTCCACCAGATCAGTGACGGTTTTCTCTCTGCCCTGTAGTCCGAGGTTTAACTCATTTAAGTGTTTGAACAAATCAGAAAGGAAACACACAC